CGAAATGGAAATGAGCTTTTGGATAGATAAGATTTGGCAAAATCGTACACCATGTTCTGAGAACCCACGGTCACTTTGCTATAAGATTTTTTGGGGAAGTGAGTGATTCAATTGTTGCATTCGATTGGGTATCCATTGTTTCGTCCGAATATTCGTTGGGTTGGATATGTCTTGTAGATTCCTTGTTCATTGTTAAAGAAGGTTCTGGGTTCTAGAAGTTGGGCTGGGTTAGATTAGGGGATGGATCGGGGTTGTTTTGTTGATCTTTTGTAATGATCATTGGTTGGGGTGCAGGGGTATATGCATTGATATCCACTTTGGGTTGTGGGTTCTGGTATTTTCCCATGCTTGTTTGTTTGTTTCCCACATTTGTTTGTTTGTTTTGATGGGATGATGTCATAGCTATGTTTGACGGTAGTTTGCTAGATTGCCCACTTTGAGAATGCGGTTGAGTTTATTAACTATTAAAGGCCAAGGATGGGTGTTTGAGTTGGTGTTGTTGCTTTTATTTTCTATAGTTTTTTTCTTCTTTAGCAGTGAAGAGTTATCAGGTGTGTTGGTTGTTGTATTGCTATTGTTTTGTTTGTCTAAGGTCCCGGAGGGATTTATTAGAGATGTATTGGATGTAGTTACAGGAATAAAGAAAGGTTCGAAAGCTTTAGAAGTAGTAAGAAGAATATCACTGTCTCTTTTCAGCCTTAGAACTAATATTGAGTTGTAGTATATAGTATTCTAAACACTAAAGAGTAGTTATTTAGATCTTTACTCTATATTTGTTATAAAATTCTGTTGTTTTGTTTTGTTTACTTATAATTTTGGGATCTATGGGAAAGAGTTTTTTTCCTTAGTTCCAAGGTAAAGGATAACTAGTTTTGTAGACTTCAATTTATTCTAAATATATTTAATATGCTCTATGTATATAGAAAATAGCAAGTATTAATTATTTAATATTCAGTTTAAATTTGAAATTACTTAGAAGGTATCCATATTTAATATTAAACGATATTTGTAGTACCAGATATATTCCAATGCAATATAGACATATTGCTATACCTAATATAGAGCGAGGTTTGATAAAGCTATAATTTTTGAAAAAATTGTTAGTAACGTACAAACACAAAATATATAACACTTACATGCACTTTTTTTTTTCTAAATGTTTATTTATAGTTTTTCTTTTACTGTAATTTTCATTTTCCCACCTACAAACACCTAGTAATCTGAGTGATTAATTCTTTTCTGTTTAAATCAATAATGAATAAATCAGGCAGTTTACGTGTTTTTACTAATAGATTACCTCATAACACTTATTTACTTAATAGAAATTTTAATTAGATTTACTGTTTAGATTTATTTAATCAACCCTCATTTCAAAATAACACACATGGCGTATTTAAAATAACATGCAAGTGGGTGTTATTTTCACATAGTAAAATGTGAAAAATGATATAGATCTGGTGCTTTTAATATTTAAGAGTTAAAAATCTGGTATTATATATAGTTCTCAGTTTGTAGATTTGGTGTCATCATTTAGGTGCTCTTATAAATATGGATTTCAAGTGGTTTCGTGACATTATTGTTTTATTAGAGCCTTGAACTCATTTTTAGTATTACTGTTGATATGGGTTTTATCACTTGGGTGGTTTTGTGTCTTCACTTTACTGAAGTCTTCTGTTGCTCTGGGTTTTGTCATTTCTGGTGTTATTGTGGCTATAGATTTTTAGCTTGTAGTAATTCAGTCTGGGATATGAAGTTTACTACTTGTATATGCTATTGTCATAATTTTGTTATTGTTTAGCAAATACACTTTGCAAGAACTTTACACTAGTTAAGCTAGTTATTGCCTATTAATTAGTTGCTTGAAAGTATCCTTAATTTTGAGTTTTACTAGAATTAGAGATACCTATAAAGAATTTGAATATTGTTATTGAAGTAGACTTGAAATTAAATATGAGAATATATAATATTGGATATTGCTACCTAAATAGAATTGTAGCTGAAAAGTATTTATTTATTATTTAATATCAACAGGAATTGATAAGTGTTTATGTTCTTTATTTGTGAACCTGCTTTGCTAATTTGACAATTACTAATAAATAATCTTTACTTTCAGTGCTAGATAAAATGGTTAAGGTAAATAAAATAATTCGAAGGGTATTATTAGATAAGTATTTTATTTTTTTTTTATATATAAAACTTACTTTGTTATTTTAATATTAATGATTAAGAAATAACTTTATATTTACGGGCTGAATATGAATGAAATTATTTAAGATACTAATTATACAATAGTAAGGAAATAATTGTCTATGAAATGAGTAGTAGGTTTTTTTTAATTAGAAATAGGAGTTTTGATTTGGTGGTTAGAAGTAGGTTGTAGTTCATTTATCCTTTCACTCTTTTGTTCACCCTTTTGTTCACCTCTTTGGTTATCTTTTCATTTATTCGTTCATTTCTTTTTAGAGGTTGAGTTTAGGGTTATAACTAAAAATTGAATTTATTTTGGTTAAATGCAAATTATGTATTTTAAATAATAAAAATATATAAAATTTAAAAAACTGTATTTAAAGACTAAATATTCGCTTTAATAAAGACTTTATTTATTGTTTTATTATTATTTTTTTTTCTATAATTTGTTTATACATTTACTAAAACTCGCATATGATAACTAAATTTATATTCAATAACTAATTATTTTTCTAATCCATTATCTAAAAATAAGCAAAACAATAATGTAAGTAAATAATAATACTTGCCTATCTCTAACTATATAACCTTCGTACTCTTATTATTCCTTAATTATATCATTAAAATGATACTTATTTTGACCTAATCAAATTAAGTGATTAAAACTCTTAGCCCTGATTAAATTAATTATTTAATTGATTTTATATAGATATATAACCATATTCATATTTAGTTCTCGATAAATTTGAATTGCTATTGAAGCTAAACAGTTTATTTTATTGAAGCTATTCTCTTATACAATAACTTATTAATACTCTCTAAATGTTTTTATTAAGGTACTAATTCAAAAAAAAAAAAAGTAATAATAAATTGTATTATATATTAGTATAAGTAATATTACTATAATGAATAGATTTATTAAAACTTTTAGAGCATATTTATAAACTTATCATATTTATATTGACAAGAATCTCTTAAACATACTGGTTATATTAAAAAAACAATAAATTTAATATTGTTAGCAAATATGTTCATCTATTGAGAATATTACAAGCATATTCATACTTCTCATATTTATATCAACAAGAAATTCGTATGATCATATTTGAAGTATAGTACTAATTCAAAAAGAAAAAATAATAATGATTCATATTATATTAGCATAAGTAAAATGTTTTTATAATAGTATTGAATAGATTTATTAAAATTCATATCAAAAACATGCTAGTTGTATTTTTTTTAAAAAAAGCAAAACCTAGGGCTAATTCTAAAATGACAATAAATTTAATATTGTTAGCATATATAATTTTGAATAGATCTATTGAGAATATTAAAAGCATATCCATACTTCCTATATTTATATCAACAAGGATTACTTAATATAGCATACTACTGTATTCGAAAGTTAAATTTTGGAAAAAGACAATTAATATTCTAAGTTAGATTCTAGCTTATGTATTATAGATGAAACATGTGTATTTTTACTTATAAAAATCATTGAATGTTAGACTGTGTTATATAAATATACAATTTATCTTTAAAATTATCTAATAAATTTTGAACCCTTCATAAATAAATTTGTAAATAAATTCGTTTCATTTATATTTGTATTTCTATTCAGTATAATCAAAAATAACCTACTAAAAAAAAAAATAAGAATTAACAAGTAGATAAAGTAAAAACTCATTTATTTCTGTATTTGCAAAATTCTTCCTTAAATCTAGTTATCAATTTATAATTACAGACCAAATAGTTAAAATTCAAGAGATGCCAGCTCAGTCTAAGCTTAAAGACACAATTTCTCAATTAAATCGGGAGTTACAGCATCTTGAAGTATTAGAAAATAGAAGAATGATCTTTGATGTTGATAAAAAAAAAAAGCAAGTATTCAAAATAAACTTGTATTGTTGCTAAAAGCTTTGAATAAATTAGAGTACTACCAATAGTTTTAACAAAAGTATAGATCTCAGAAAAGGCAAAGCTTTAGCAGATAGAAAAGCAGCTTAAAAAAGCAGGGTTCGATACATAGCTTGTTAGGCCAACAGTTAGTCATCCAAGTTTAGAAGAAGCACATTAGAAGCTATTGTTCAAATTGTTTCTTCAGATAGACAGGCTGATGAAAGATGGTGTTCAGAATTAATACAATTTGTCAAGACCTTAGACTAGCTTCAAGAAGCATTAATAAATATGAACTATAAACTGTCATGCTTTGTGACATATTTTAGGCTAATTCCAAGATAGCATAATAGTGAAGAAGGAAAGCAACATGTTAAAACAGTGCCAGTGAAGCTTCTAAAATCTCAAAATTCAGCAGGAAGAAGCTATAATAATACCTATTTCTGCACTACTTTAATAAGAAATATAAAAGAAATAGTATCATTATTAGATTTCAAAAATGCTTTAGTAATATCTCAAGATGATAAAGCATGAATATCTCTTGGTTTAGCCATGGCCAACAAACAAGATTACTATAATTTAAAATAAAATAGAATTACTATTTAATATATAATAAATAAAAAGATAAAACTTACTAATAATAATT